TGCTATAGACAACTGCAGACTCATTAATGTAAAGTTATTTCTATTATACTTATTTTTGTTACTTTAATAAGGTATTGATTTCAATCTCATCCTCAATGTTTAAAAAGAAATTTCTTGAATTTCGCTGGAAATGGTACACAATACACAGTAAGAATTGACATGATAAACGAAAATGAATAATGCTTTATCTTTATAATAAACAGTGAGAACAAGAAAACCGTAAAATGTGTTTTTCATTTTCCTTTTAAAAACTGTAAGCGTAATTTCAAGTGATCTTCTATTGATAGAGGGTCATGTCCGATTTACAACAATACCCTGAAAACCTTTAGAAGATCCAAGGATTTCGTGAACAAAGGTTTAAAGGGTATCGTTGTAAATCGGACATTAATTTAAAATCACGCTTACAGTCCCTTTGAGAAGTGTTCCTAGGGATTTTGTAATTCGCAATATAGTTGCAAATTGGAACAAAGACGACGAGGAAACATGGCAGTATCAAGACGAATTGGAGGTCGTCTTTGATCGTTCACAAAAATTGTCATTTAGTCGTAAATATCTCCGATAATATTTACAATGAAAAAAGGCAGATTACATTTTGGAAATGTCAAGAGGTTATAGGTTTAACGATTATACATGTGAAAGCAGGCTGACGACTGAATGTCACAATGAAATTCAAAGTTCAAAGACGACTTTTAAGTCGTCTTGCTAGTGCTACTGTCATGTTTCGTGGGACACCCTGTAGGATTATATCCATGATTTGTAGAAACTTGAATAAATCTAAAAAATTTAAACTGTTTTTTATTAATAGAAATTTAATAATAATACAATTTTAAAAAGTTATGGTTGACTGCATTTAACAATAAAAATATATCTGTTAATAACATTCAAATTTAAAACTATATTTTATAGGTTTATATGTTCCTCCATGTTCCCACGAGGGGGGAACATACAAAAATTTCTGCGCGCCTAAAAAATTTCTAAATCTGCCCCTGCATTAAAAAAAGGATTTTTATCGAATAATAAGGAGAATAAAGAATTTTTGAGGACGAAGGGTCCGTGGGTAAAGCGAACGAAAACTATGAAAAAGACTGAAAAATATTGTTCAGTTCTCAGCTATAGAACGATTTTAACTAATTATTCATGGCCTGGGTTGAAAAAAGTCTGAAAGTGTCCAGCAATACGGTAAAATTTCTTATTATTTAAAATGGTTGCCGCCCCCCCTTTTGTTTTTTAAAATTACATAACTTTGAAGACCACTAAATATTTTACTGGTCTCAAAAAACCATTACAAAACAAGGTTGAGATTGTATAAAGTTGTCGCACTGCAGCTTCTGCACCAGGTTCCAGAATCTAAATTCCTGGAAGATTCTAGATTTCTGATTGAAATTCTTAGACGCAAGGCTACAGCTTACACAGCACCAAGATTTTCTATGATTCTGGATTCATAGGACAGGGTGTCCGTGTCCCACTATAGATGAGAATAAATGAAGACCTACAGGTCGTCATAAATATTTAAAATAATTCATTTGTCCACCTTATTTTAAAAATATAATTTTTTGAGATATTTTATTTAGAATAACATAAAGAAGGTTTGGGGTATAAACTCCATGATCATTTCATATGTTATAACGACCAGAAAACGTGCTTAAGAATGTTTATGTAAGTTATTTTCTCTAAAATATTCATATAATATCTTGATTTATTTTCAGAGGTACTAACAAATTTATTTTTACATTTTTCAACAATCACCTTAGTAAAATATTAGATATCGTTAACGATCATACATCATTAACGATGAGTTATTGTTAACCATCGACCATAGTGAACAACCTAAACGTTAACTAACGGTATATTTCGTTAATTAAAAAACGGCCGTGGAACAAACATTAAGCAGCGTGGAACGAGCGATTTCAAATTTCAAGAACTTAACGAAACCATGAAGAATAGCATTCCTTTCCCTCAATATGAGTTTTAATCATCTTTATATATTAAGTAGTTATCTCTGTTTGTTTGTATGTCCGATCATAACTCATGAACTCCCTAGGATCAATTTGCCTCAAATGATTGAGGAACTCGGGAGAGCCACGGGAATATTCTTAACTTGATATTGAGATTCTAAGTTTGGGTCGACTTTTATAGGGAAAAATAGCTCAAATCGTAATTTAAGACCAAGCGAGGGTATACGGCGGGAGTAGCTATGAGTACTGGTTGGGAAATGCTGGGTTCTGGGGGTTCCTAGTTTTGTCTAACATTTTTCATTTTTTGCTTATATCTGTAATATTACAGAACGAACTTCTGATGATGCCAAAGTTTAAAAAAAAATATATTGAGAAGAAAATGGTGTAATGCTAGTTAGAGAGAGTAGGGTAGGGATTGTTTAAAAACTAAAGTTTGAGCTAGTTTTCAATAAAATGGTGTAATGCTAGTTAGAGAGAGTAGGGTTGGGATTGTTTAAAAACTAAAGTTTNTAGTTAGAGAGAGTAGGGTAGGGATTGTTTAAAAACTAAAGTTTGAGCTAGTTTTCAATAAAATGGTGTAATGCTAGTTAGCTAGAGAGAGTAGGGTTGGGATTGTTTAAAAACTGAAGTTTGAGCTAGATTTCAAAAAAATGATGTAATGCTAGTTAGAGAGAGTAGGGTTGGGATTGTTTAAAAACTAAGGTTTGAGCTAGATTTCAATAAAATGATGTAATGCTAGTTAGAGAGAGTAGGGTTGGGATTCTTTAAAAACTAAAGTTTGAGCTAGTTTTCAATAAAATGGTGTAATGCTAGTAAATGCATCCACAGTCCACAAAGCTCACTGAGTTAATAGGTTTAGATGGATTATGAAAATATTTATCTCTATATTATGAACCTTTAATCCACCCGGCACAAATGTTCTTTGTTGCTTATGATCATCACAGCCATGGTTTTTGTTATTAAGTATGACAAAAATTCATAACACAAGAAAAACTTTTGCCCTTCTTGAAAATATGAATTATTTAAAGCTTACCATTTCAAAATTTTTAAAGAAAATAATAATATACCCGTATTCTAAAAACTATATTAATGCATTTCCTATGCGTCACGTGAACGAAGAGATTTTTAAAACTTTGTGACATAAAAACTCTGAAACCGGAGATGGAATCCAAGTAACATTACAAGTAACATTCAAGGTTGAAATGTAAATATCAGGAACCTTTCTCCGCAGGGCCGGGATTAGATAATAATTTTGTTCAAAAGTTTGTTGCAAAACTGACAGGATTGTTAAATAAGGCCGAGGTCTAAGGGTTGAATTTACTTTTTTTTCTTGAAAATTCCCTTTACATGAAATACTAAATGATTTTACAAAGAAAGAAAGAAGTTTCCAGTTTCAGAGAACGAAAAATGCTAAAAAAACATATTCTGTAGGGAGTCGTCTCTGCAGACACAGGGTACCCATCAAAGGGTGAAATTATAACGACGACCTGAAACTCTTAATGTAAATGTCTAGGGATTCAACAAAGTATAAATTAGTTAGGTAGTTAATATAAACAGCCATAGCTTCGCCACACTTTATATGTGGACCCGGTTTTAAAAATTATCAAACTTGTCATAGCTGTTAAGATCTCTGTTAAGTGGCTCTCAGAATGACCTCCAAGTCCTACGAAACTATCTCTCAGCCTCTCGCTTTGTCTCCAAGCCTACGCCATTCTGTCTCCATGCTCTGCATTTATTGGTCTCAAAAAAAATATTTTGCTTTTACATCCAACAAAAACCTTTTATCAAACAATCTCAACATGATAAAATAGTTTTATCAGAAACAAATCACAAAAGTCTATTTTAATTGATAGTAATACTTACATTTATGTTTTGCTGGGCTTATGGCGGCTCTGCACTCCCTCCCTCTATGGCGTTATGGCTGAACATTGAAATAAACAATTTCACGGTTGTCCGGTTAAATAAATAGAGAAATCCTTCTCCCCTCCCCTTCATTCTTTACTATTATTTTATATCATCTCAAGTATGTCGTTAAAGATAGATGCGCGCAGTTGTTATTATATAACAAACAGAAGAACGCAGCATGATTGTCTTTTTCCATTGAAAATCTTTCTTTATAGATTGAGACTGTAAAGACGACTTGAAACTCTTAAATATGACGATCGCAAGTTTAAATTTCGTGTTCTGTCTTTTAAATACATTTAGTATTTTAATGGTTTATTTAATGTTGCAAAGGAAGAAACACATTTATAGTTGCAGGGAATAATAAATATAAATAAACTGATTATAAATTCACCGTACAGTCGTCTCTGAAGGCTCATCCTATGAGCGTAGCCCTGTAAGAGTCGCAAATATCGATTATTTTTCGGTGCATTCGTGTATAGTTATTATTTCATAATATTTTTGATTTAGTTTTTTAAAATCATATTTCGCTGCAGCGCTGGATTTTCGAACATTCCTGGAAAATGTCGTCTTAATTATCAAAAATCCTCAAAACACGGATAAATCTTTTCAAAAGTAACTATCAGATCATAAGAAACAAAAAATATTCTCAAATATCAGCTTTATACGAATGCGTCGAAAAATAATCGATGATTATTAGTTGTAATATCTGAATGATTTGTTTGAAATTAAATTGATTATTTTACAATCCATGTTGAATACTGCAACTGTCTGAATTTGCATCTTTAATTATGATCTTGCTCTTTTTTAATCCACGATCTGAAAGTTAAATATGCTGTTCTGCAAAAAAAATTACTAATTTTGTGGTTCAAAAGAAATAAAAAACTTTATAGCTTTGAAGCAAGGAAAAACACGAGTTTAAGATTAAAATTATAGAATTAAGCTATTTTACATTGTTTTTTCCAAGTTATCTAAAGTTCTAATTATTTTCAAATTTCAGTAACCATTTGATAATTTTTTTCGCAATTAAGTGTTTGTGAAAAAACCGAATATTTTAAAGACGACATTTATATTCTTAATGAAAAGAAACTGCAACGTAAACATCTTCTAGCATGTAATATTGGTGAAATAATGTCTGACAACGTTCTGAACATCCTCTTTATTTGTATCCAAACAGAATCCTATCAATGTACTTCCTAGGTATCTAGGATGTACGCGAGAACAAAGAGTATACATGGTTTACAGCAAGTTGTAAGGATCGAGCACAGAAAATTTACAAGTTCTTTTTGTTATTCAAATATTTAAGTGATCACAAATGGAAATTCTTAAATGATTGCAATCATTTGTTTCATGTTTGTATAATTTACATCATTTTTAAATTTAAAAAATCTTATTTTTCAATATAAGTTTGTCAAGTTGAAAAAAGTTGAATTTTATATATTAACCCTATTGCGTATCCTGGTTTTCAAGTACCCCAGCGGGGATAGGGTTAAACCTGTCGATCGCCGATCAGAGCATCGGACAATATTACTGAACGAACTAGATTCAAATGAACTAAAAACTAAAAAAGAACGAACAAGTATTTTAGACAATCACAGTGTTAAAGTTATTTATGGTTTGTATAAGTATCAGTATCCACTTGTTCCCTCAGAATTTAGAGTTTTACAACACATCAGCTAGCTGTTGCAAAGATATAAAAAGAGCTAGAAATTAGAACTTGAGGAAAGTGAATCCAGTTCCTTAATTTGAGGATTTGAGGTCTAGGATGCAAGATTTCTAAAACTATAAATAACAAAATTCTGAAGTCTCAATCTTTGTGGGCAATGAATATAATGACACTTGCAGATTCTTAAAATTGTATGACTTTCCAGAGTCAGCATTTTTTGGGGGTTTCTTTTCTTTTTTTAGGCGTTACTTTTGTTCACTTTGTGAATTTTATAATTTACTCAATCTTTATAAATTTCTAAAAAAAACATTTATTCCAAAAATTAAAAAAAAATGAAAGCTGTGAAAATTTTCAAATTATCATGGCTAGGAAATTAGTTTTAAAAAATGATAACGAGCATTCTTTAAGGTGTACCACTGTACCCAAACTAAAGGTTCTTTATAATTTTATTAGAGAGGGACAAGGAACCAACTGATCAGTATATATTAAGTGGTAGCCCCAGGAGCATTCTTGAAGTTTTCAGTATTCATCCTGCATCTAAAACAATATTGATTTTAATTTGAATAAATAGAATCTTTGATATGTACTTTTACAATCATTTTTCTTCTCAACAATTTTCCAAAAGCATCATTTCCTGAGTGGAACTTGTCAAATATCATAAGCAAAGCAATTTATTCACTTTTTGGAAGTTATCCTAAAGTCTTTCAAAGATATAAAAACTGGCAGATATTATTATCATTACATTTTTTATAAACACAGAAATCATAGAAATCTCAATTGTCTATAAAACAGATTTATTTAGTCCCGAAGTTTGGTATAATTTTAAAAATCTGTTCCCGCTTTCAGAATATATTTTTCCGATTCAAAAACAATTTACTATGAGACTGTCAAGTATTACATGTTTGATTGAAAATAATATCCTTTAAACCTTGGTCTGAGCAAAATTGATAGAAATATTTAGTTTTCTATCTGATAATTCATCATTTTCAATTGAAGTGTCTAGAGAAATTATGCATCAGAGACAAGAAAGCAAAATTAACAAAATTAATTTCTTTTCCAAAAAGAAAAACGAAGATATATTTCTGCGCAAATAAAAGGTGTATTACCCTCTTAAAATGGAAGATCATTTGAATGCATGGGGACAGTCCTTTTATTCAGTAAATTTACCTGCGGCTGCAACAGGCCTCATTCTTGTGGTGTTTATTCTTGATCCCATTCATGTCTTTCTCTGTCTCCTTTTTCAATTCTTGTTTGTATGTGGTCAGTTCATGTTGTTGCTCTTTTATCACCTTTGCTAAATTATCGTTTACATGTTTAAATGCAATTTTAACCTCTTCGTAGTTTACAATTTTCTCGTTCAGCACGTTTACAGTTTTCACGAGCTTCGCAGCTTCTTCTGATGTTTTAATGAAATCCATTATGTTTTGGTTGAATAGGATTTTCAACTCTCTCAACTCATTCTCTGCAACATTTCTTTTCTGAATTTCAGCATCTTTCTCTTTCTTAAGAACATCAATTTCACTTATCTTTTCATTCATCCATTCCATTTCTTCCATTCCCCTGGCGTTATTCATTTTCTTCAATCTTCTTCTTTCTTCTTGTTCTGTATGCTGTTCCGTATCTAGAGTAATTATCCTTTGCTCCAGCTCTTCTTTTTCCATTTTCAGAATTTTGTTTTCCTCTTCGTTTTTATTGAGCTGTAGCGTCAGATCAGAGATGACTTCAATCATCCTCCTATTCTTTTCTTTCTCCTTTTCCACTTGACATTGTAGTTGCTCAATATTAGTTCTATCAACCTTTTTGTCCTGTTCCACGTCCTTGTCCACAATTCTCTTTCTATTTTCTTCTTTTCCAGATTTCACTAAAGTGAGAATTTCCTCGATTTTCTTAGCGTTCTTAGCGTTCTCAGCTTTTTCCTTTTCCATCTGAGCTTGAAATTTCTCCATTTTCATATTATTCTCCTGAAAACCCCTTTCCATTCTAGATTTCCATTCGTTTTTAAGGTCGTCTTCCTCTCTTTTCTCTGTAGGTATCCTACATTCAGATTGAACATTGCTGTTAGTCGCTTTCATCCTGCGAGTAAAATCGATTAATATTTTAATTTTCAATATTTAGATAAATTTGGACGATTCCTTTGAAAACTTTGTAATTACGAATATTAGCAAATATGTGCAATCGTCGGATATATCACAATTTTACGCTTTGCCAAAATTTTTAAAACTTTCGAAATCATTTTTACGAACATTTTGCAATTTCTGAATAATTCTGAACAGGAAATATGCGGAACCACGGATATTAATCAAAGATCCAAACCAGCCCAAACTATGAACAATATCAAGATATAAATTTACTTTTTCTTTGAAAACACAAAATTGCTACCTGAGGAAACGATTTTTACAGACTATTTTAAGAAATCAGCTTAAAAATAAGAGAAAAAAAACACAAAAAATGTATACATTTTCTTATATGTGCAAAAAATTAGTAGATCTTGAAAAAATGATCCGGATGAGCGGGGAAGGGCAGGCGGCCATGAGCCACCACTATTTCCCCTTCCGTGCCACATATTAGCTTTTTTCTCTTCCGGCAGCCATGAGCCACCACTATTTCCCCTTCCGTACCACATTTGAGTCTTCTGGGCAAAACTACTTTTTTATACTCAGTCATATTTTTCAAAAATTTCATTGTAAAACAGTTTAAAAATTCAACACACAAAAATTAATCTTAATTAGAATTGAAAAAATGGTTTGAGTTGTGCTTTTTTTGCGTGACGCGGCTGGATTTTTGAAATCACACTTTAAAGGTCCTAAATATACCATTTAAAAAAGTAGTTTTGCCTGGAAGAGTCAAATGTGGTGGTAATTGGAAGGGGAAATAGTGGTGGCTCATGGCCGCCTGCCTTCCCCCGCTCTCCGGATCCGCATGAAAACTAAATTCTCAAGCTGAAAATTCTGTGCGGATAAAATAATAGATTGTGTCAAACTAAAAAAAAAATTGTAAAAATCCAATTAGTTTTTTAACAACGTTTAATACATTTCACAAATTTATGAATGAGACTTAAATCAGTCAGTCAGTGTAAATATCTCGTATGTAAAATTTTAGATATTCAAATCTGTAAACTTAATCTATTTTTTTCACTTTTCTAAATCAATACACTTTGCTTGTTTGTATCCAAAAATGTCAAAACGGCTGAACCGATCAGGCCCAAATTTTGTTTAGGACATCAGTTGACCCGGGGAAGGTTTATGGAAATATAGAATTTCAAAAGTTTGTCTCCAACAATTCTTAATTTTGAAAATCCACGAAAGAAATTTTTAATCTGCACAATTTTCTGTTTCGTTTTATCTTAGAAAAATACTTTAATTGATAAAAAATTGAAATAGAGAAGATGAGCACGAAGAGCCCCGATCAGCTATAGTTTATTAACATTTAAATGATTAAAACAGGGACTATTGATTAGACAGTTTCAAGTGGCCATCCATTGTTCAAATGGTATGTCCGATTCTCGACTGTACAAATCAAACCTTATTTCAATGATTTTCAATGCGGATTTATGCTTGAGTGACGATGAAAGAAATTGTCTGAATTAAAAACTGAAGATAGAAAAACGATGATATTTGGCTCATTCTTATTTAGATAAGACCTGTTGTGAATCGGATGTGGCACTCTAAATATAATAAATGAAGGGCACTTATATTTCAGCTCACACTCCCTTTAATTGGATAGCCATAAATCCCGTTTAAATCTTAAATTCTACCTTTTTACTTCATTGTCTGTTTCAAATCTTTCCATTTTCTTCTTTCTTTTCAGGCTTTTCTTGTTGATATGCTTTCCCTTTCCTTCTCCTGTTCTTGTCTTCTTAATTTTCATTATTTTCTGTAATAACATAAAAACATGAGATATAATCTATATTAAAACTCCATATCAATTCATGTCAATTTCTGATCGTGATAATTAAGCATTAAAACTCGGTGTCATAATTACTTTTAAAGACGACATTGCAATGTAAATATTAACACTATTTTAGTCTCACATTATCAAATAAATTATCATGTAATTGTAGAAAAAGCAAACTGTGATACAAACGAGAAAAATGTTTAAAATTGTACAAAAAATATATAAATAAGTACATGCTGCTAATCAATCTAATTGTACATGCTTTATACTTCATTGTACATTTTAAAGTAAAAAACAAAACTGAAAATTTTGAGAATTTTCTTGCTTTCTTCAGTGCATTTCCGAAATGTTTTGGATAGTTGGGTGTTCCAGTTTTGGCAATGGTCTTCTGTCATCCTTCTATTCTCCTGTTCTTGATCTCCATGAGCTTCATCAAACTATCCGTCTTTTTCAAACACTCAGTCTCCTTGTGCAGCATCACACAGGGATGTAATTTTTCCAGAATTTTGTATAATTAGGGGGAAACTGGTAAATTGGACATTACTGATACTTTTTTCCTTCTTTATGATACTTTTTACCCAAACTTTCATTTATTTTCCCTGAATGAAACCAAATTTATCATCTGGGGGAAAAATTGATTAAAAAAATGGAAGAAAATTGCTTTTTTTGAGAAAATATACACCCCTGGACCATCACAGTCACCTAGGATAAATATACAGTGTGACCCATAAATCTGTGGAATAGACATTAACATTAAACTCAGGAATTGTGCACCAACACATCTCAAGATGCTATTTGCTTTATAAAACCATCTTCTAAACAAGATTACTTAAGAGTCAATTTTCTATTCCACAGTTTTATGGTTTTCCACTGTAATTGGAGAGGGTTTCAAATTTTGTTATGAATTTATTCTGCGATTAAAAAGGTTAGTCTTGAATCTAAATTCATTAGGCTCAAACCTAGACGTCTAAAGTTAGTCAAAGGAGGGAAGTCAAACCACACTTTTTTTACGTATGACCGCAAATGACGTCATATCTAACCAGTGTTTCGTCCGACATTGTTTACATTTTTTGTATTGAGCCACGTCCTGTTGTTTATAGACATAAACCAGTTCACGGAAATTTTTATTTCAAAATTCATCAAGAAAATGCATTTATACAAAATCACCCTATATATTAACTAACATGATGTTGTCTAAATTTGAAAATAGTGTTATAAGGCATCAAAAATACATTTGAAAACACAGAAACAACGCCTGGACGAAAAAAAGGGGTGGTGCGGAAGAAAAATGGTGTTAGACATAACTTGGTCAGTGATTTACAAATTTTTTAATGAGACCCAATTCTCTGATAAATCAATGCGACACTTATTTTAAATCTCACTTGCAATAAAATATTGCAAATTAAACAATACTTATGAAGCTAAAAATTTTAACCTGAATTTTGTCCAAGAACGAGCTCAAATTCTCCCAGTACTCCAGTAAGCTTAAAACACAATCCTTGAAAGAGCATTTTAAAACGAGTTTATTTCATGCTCATTTGAACTATTTTTTGGTTCATTTGAACTATTAATATTTTATATGATATAATCAAAAAAATAGTTCAAATGGACATAAAAATAGTTCAAATGGACAAAAAATAGTTCAAATGGACATAAAAATAGTTCAAATGGACAAAAAAATAGTTCAAATGAGCATAAAAATAGTTCAAATGGACAAAAAAATAGTTCAAATGGGCATAAAAATAGTTCAATGGACAAAAAAATAGTTCAAATGGACATAAAAATAGTTCAAGCGGACAAAAAAATAGTTCAATCGGACATAAAAATAGTTCAAATGGACAAAAAAATAGTTAAAATGTAAAAAGTGTGTTCCTGTAATTGTTATTTATCAATATATTTAGTCAAAGAATCAACTTTTCTGGGAGAAGCAACACACTGGGTCAATACTGAAAATATTCAAAGATACAATTAATGAAGGAGATAAAATGGTGATCCCCTCCCCCAAATGAGCCGTCAATCTTACACCTGAATATTATAATACTTTGACGAATATGATTTAAAGTAACGAAAACTGCAATAACTTAAAATTGTAAAATTGTAAGATTAGATTCAATGGGTCTTTCCTCCCCCCTCCAACCACTCCTATCAATTTTGTACACGACCACTGATTTTTCAGCAAAATTACTAATATTTATCTTTTGTAGGGTTAGTAAGGTTAAGACCATGTTATTCCATGTGTTACATAAATATACATGGAACTCATATCTATATGAGTTCCACGTACAAAATTGATGGAGGGGGGGGGGGGGGGACACGTCTCGATCCAAATAAAAATTTAAATCAGAAAACTATATGATTTTCACTCGAATATCACTATAAATCATTCATTATCAATTGAGCAATGAACACGGTTGTATAACCCGCGCAGGTGTGTAGTGTGTACGTAACGTACTCATTAATTAAAAACCGGTTTTCAAACAGGGGCGGATTTGGATCGAATTGCGTGAGAGGAAGGGGGGGGGGGCAAAAAAGTTTCAGGAAGATATCTATTTTATATGGTACATTTTTATACACGATGAAAAAATTTAGAAGTGTACAGTCGATTTTATCTGTGAATTACATGCACATATAGCATTAAAAAATATCTAACAATTAATTTTTCAAACGCTGCGGGCAGAGGCGTATTCAGGATTAATTCCAGGGGGGAGGGGCTTAAAAATGTGCCAGAAGGGCCAAAAAGAGTTTGGTTAGGCCCCCACCCCTGGATTGCTAAAACTAATTACTAAAACAGGGGCATTTTTTCTTAAAATTTTGTACCACTATGAATTAAAGTTGATTCAACGTTGATCTACTTACTTTAGTTGATTTACGTATATTATAGTTTAATCGAACAAATTAGTGCAAACGATATAGCATATTGCAATTGGTGCTGAGCTCCCCCCCCCACTCCTCCCTCCCCTGCCTCTAAAAATAAATAAAAAACAATTTAACCCCCCCCCTTGAACAAATTCCCGATGACACCCCTTTCAGTCTCTATGTGTATTATTAAATTCAGCGTTGCCAACTCCGAGGAAAGATAATTCCCAATTTCTGTCTTCAAAATTCCCAAAATCAACTTAAAATTCCCCTTATTTATGTTCTCTCTCTCTCTCTCTCTTCTATCCTCTCACCATCAGCTGTTTTAAGTCTAGAAGAAAAAGCAGAACAGACAACTGAAACCGGATCAGCCGTTCAGGCTTGTTAGCTGAAGCTGAAAACCTCAGTTGATATCGAAAGTACGTGTAGTACAAGTTGAGACTTCAAGTTGAACTGAGCCAGGAAGTGAAGTTAAAGCTATTAAATAAAAATGTGTGGTGGGGTGGCAGGTGCTCAAGAACCTTCGCAACGATTTTTGAAGGAATTTTTGAAAGGAAGCAAAAGGTAAACTTTTTTTTTTTTTATAAAGCTTACTCAGGGATTGACCCAATGACGATCATAAAAGTGTCACAATATTCGTTTGTCTATAATATCTATTTCTAATTCGTATGTTCAACTGCGCAGTTCTTATATGTTGCTTTATACGATCTTTCTCGTCCTAGTTGCAGCGCTTCGGGGTCTGTCCTAGAGAACGATTTTTGGATCCCTCCTATCAATTTTGTACATGACCTAGATTTCAACTATTTTCAACAAAAAAATATTTATTTCTTATTATTTCAGGGTTAAGTTGGTTTAAGACATTTTCTGGGCCGAGCGCTGCGGCTAGGACAGGCCTTCAATTTCAAGAATTTTTAACAAAATTATATTATATATTTAGGGTCTGGGCCAAGCGCTGCAGCTATGACAGCCTAGTGGGCCGAGCGCGGCTGCTAGGAAAGGCTAATGGGCCGAGCACGTCGGCTGGGAAAGGCTAGGGGGCCGGGGGCTGCGACCATGTGACCAACTTAATCCTTGTTTTAATTATGAAATGCATGTACAAAATTGATAGGAGGGGGTCCAAAAATCGTTCTCTAGGAAATTACTGCGTCCCCCCCTAGGTTGTCCTAGCCGCAGTGCTGGGCCCAGAATATTACCTTAATCCTAAATATAAATCTTAATTAAGAATAAAAAGCATGTTCAAAATTGAACCATTGTAACCTTTATCAAAAACCGTACACAGGGGGGGGGGGCAGCAGTCCTAGTCCTCTTGCCCCCCCCCCCCCATGCATTAAATCAATGTTGTACATAAAATATGATAGTTAAAATTTAAATAATTTTTGACAGTATGACCCGAGCGCCGCAGTTTGGACAGACTAGAGGTGCCTCTATTGTACCCAATCTATTTATATACTTTACTTGTCTGTCTGTTTGTTTGTATCCAATAAACGTCAAAACGGCTGAACCGATTGGGCCCAAAATTTCCGAAATAAAGTGCCTCCATCAAAATTCGATTTTCATAAAAAAAAAATTTAAAATCCGATGAAAGATATTTAAATATCTAAGAATTTTTTATTGTTTTTCGACAAACAGAAAATGTTTTAAATTGTAAAAAAAGATTGGGCGCAAGCCTAGTAATGTAAATTTGGATTATTTTGTTTTTTTATTCAGGAAACGCATAAACTCTCTGGAAGGGTTGGATGGAAAAGCTGAAAACCAACAGGAAATTCAGGATCTAGGAGCTTTACAACAGGCACGGGAATATATACTATACAATTTTTGGGAAATTTCTCTTCCACGAAAAAAAAATATTTCTAAACATGCTTTTTTTTTGTAAATATTTAAATTCCCAAAAAATATGAATTTATAGGCGGTAAGATTCCCTAAGTAAAACCAGATTCTTTGTTGTTTCGAGCTGGATTTTTGAACGACGGGGTGTCGCCTACGAAACATGACAGTATTAAGACGATTTGAACGTTGTCTTTGATTTTTGACAAGATTTGCTGCATTTATTTTAGAAGTAACATTCTTGAGATATTAATCGCAAAAAATGTGGTCTGCCTTTTCTGTGCCCGAGATTAAAAGAAGTTCGTTCAGATTTCGACAATTTTTGTTTTTAATTAACAAAATTGAAATCTAAACAAAATTCTTAATATCTGCTGGAATAGACAGCACAAAAAGGCAGACCACATTTTGGAAATGCTAGGACTAGGAGAATTTAGTGGTTATTGTTTCAAGAATCATAAATGTTGAAGTAGGTTGACGACTGAATGTCGCAAATAAATTCAAAGAAGTCGTCTTGCTACTTGTTCCTTGGGACACTCGATATGTACACCTTGATTTAAACCAATGTATCCTTGTGTCTTTAGGACAACAGGAAGGAGAAGTCCAGAGATGCCGCTAGGAATAGGAGAGCCAAGGAGAGTGATTACTTTCAGGTGAATGTTTAGTATTACATGCCAAGCTTGGACAACTTCTAGCTTTATTATACGTATATTTTTGTATTATACGCATGTGCATATTTTACATTATTAACCTTTTTTAAATGACTTGCTATGTTTACAATGGTTCGATACAATGTTTGTATAGTAGCTTACTAAATATTTTATGCTTTTTTTAGAAAAATGTATTAATTTTTAAAAAGTTTTCGGTAAAAGCCCAACTGTACTACTGCCAGTGCAGTTTGTGTATACTAATGAAAACAACAAACAATTTAAGCTAGAAATGACATATTCAAAACAAAACAAGAAAGTGCAAACAATGTTTTTGATTTTTTTACTCAAGTTACACATTCTTATTTAAAGGATGGGCATCTGCATATTCAGTATTTAAAGGAACTGGAGAATCTCCCTTTAACTCTACCTAACTCCTGTATTATTTAAAGGAACTGGAAAACCTATTCCCTTTAACTCTACCTAACGCCTGTAATATTTAAAGGAACTGGAGAACCTACTCCCTTTAATTCTACCTAACTCTTGTTTTATTTAAAGGAACTGGAGAACCTACTCCCTTTAACTCTACCTTACTCCTGTAATATTTAAAGGAACTGGAGAATCTCCCTTTAATTCTACCTAACGCCTGTATTATTTAAAGGAACTGGAAGACCTTCTCCCTTTAATTCTACCTAACTCCTGTATTATTTAAAGGAACTGGAGAACCTTCTCCCTTTAACTCTACCTACTCCTGTATTATTTAAAGGAACTGGAGAATCTACTTCCTTTACTCCATCTTGACTCCTGTATTATTTAATGGAATCGGAGAATCAACTTCCTTTAACTCCACCTAACTCCTGTATTATTTAAAGGAACTGGAGAACCTACTCCCTGTAACAGGAACTCCACCTAACTCCCAGATGACCAGCATTGATAAAACATCATTGATTAGGTAATATTATTCTGTAGAGGGGGCTTTAGATAAAAGCTACTTTTGGAAGGAGTGTAGTAGAATGAGTAGATTATTTGAAACTTGAAAGAATAGAATATTGTGAACTTGAGAGATTAAAAATTGGGAACTTGAGAGAGTAGAATATTGGAATTTTGAGAGTAGAATAATGGGAACATCAGAGAGTAAAACATTGGGATTTGAGAGAGTAGAATATTGGGAACTTGAGGGAGTAGAACATTGGGAACTTGGAAGAGTAGAATATTGGGAACTTGGGAGAGTAGAACATTGGGAACTTGAGTGAGTGAATATTGGAAACTTGAGAGAGTAGAATATTGGGAACTTGAGAGAGAAGAATATTGGGAACTTGAGTGAGTAGAACATTGGGAACTTGAGAGAGTAGAACATTGGTAACTTGAGTGAGTAGAATATTGGGAACTTGAGAGAGTAGAATATTGGGAACTTGGGAGAGTAGAACATTGGGAACTTGAGTGAGTAGAATATTGGAAACTTGAGAGAGTAGAATATTGGGAAATTGAGAGAGTAGAATATTGGGAACTTGAGAGAGTAGAACATTTGGAACTTGAGTGAGTAGAATATTGGAAACTTGAGAGAGTAGAATATTGGGAAATTGAGAGATTAGAATATTGGGAACTTGGGAGAGTAGAACATTGGGAACTTGAGTGAGTAGAATATTGGAAACTTGAGAGAGTAGAATATTGGGAAATTGAGAGATTAGAATATTGAGAACTTGAGTGAGTAGAATATTGGGAACTTGAGGGAGTAGAATATTGGAAACTTGAGTGAGTAGAATATTGGGAAATTGAGAGATTAGAATATTGAGAACTTGAGTGAGTAGAATATTGGGAACTTGAGGGAGTAGAACATTGGGAACTTGAGGGAGTAGAATATTGGAAACTTGAGAGAGTAGAATATTGGGAAATTGGGAGATTAGAATATTGAGAACTTGGGAGTTAATCGAAAACTGGAATTTTCTGGAAAGAGATTAATGGGAATATAGAACGAGGGATATTAGGGATAAGGGATATCAGAATATTGGGAACTGGAGGGGAGGATTGTAGCACACCATAACTAGTTATATAAGTTTGCACGGTCCGTTACACGTGAATTAAAATATTTCTGCCTAGGCTCAGTGTTGCGTATCTACAGAGCAGAAGTCTAGTTGCTAACGGGGGTATTCATATACCCGATATCAAGGTTAGTGTACCTCAGGCCCAGGGGCATAGGCCAATTTTCAATATTTATACCCTAACCCTCCCGCCTCCTTCCCTTCCTTTTCCCTTCCTCAGGGTTGGGAAAACCCGTTTTTTTTCAAACCCCAGCCCAGTTTTTTTTAGTTTTGTGGTTTTTTGGAGCAGTTTTAGTAATGTAAACTCCCTGATAGTCAATATCATAGATAGTAGACCTCATTTCAGGAAGAAAAGGCTTAAAAATAGAAAAATTCGAGAAAAAAACCTAAGAAACCCCTATCTTCTTAATCTTCCTGACAGAAACAATCACAACAACTGACGAGGGTCAACCAAGACCGAAATATATTTTCAATTAATGTGGAACTAACATCTACTTTTTTTACTCTACAGAAGTTTGGTCCGTCATCATCACCGAATTTTAAACCTAAAAAACACTTTCAGGTTTTTAAGTGGGGAAAATTTTTCTTTGGGTGGTTTTTTTTTGGGATTTTTTTTTGCTTACTCGGTCCTTTCTCCCCCTGCCTGGGGTAAGGTTTACCCGTACTGTAATTTGTACTATTAGGATACACGTGGCTAGTCTGTTCTCAGGGGTGCATTTTCTTTAAGGAAATTATCCTCCCCCTCCCCTTTTTAAAATTCCGTAGATACTACCTTTTTTCAAGCACACTCTGTCCCCCCCCATCCCCCAAATAAGGATTGGTGTACTTGATTTGTCCTATGAAGACTGTAGAGGCTACTCTACACGTGGATATTTTACTCTCAGGGGTATACTTACAGTCAAGGAGTTTCCCCCCCTTCCCCCAAATAAGGATTGGTGTACTTGATTTGTCCTATGAAGACTGTAGAGGCTACTCTACACGTGGATATTTTACTCTCAGGGGTATACTTACAGTCAAGGAGTTTCCCCCCCTTCCCCCAAATAAGGATTGGTGTACTTGATTTGTCCTATGAAGACTGTAGAGGCTACTCTACACGTGGATATTCTACTCTCAGGGGTATACTTATAGTCAAGGAATTCCCCGCCCCCTCCCCTTCCTAAAAGTTTGTAATAGGAGTGTTTTTTGTTCGGGGGAGGGGGGTCTGAAAATATTGTTCGCACTCTATAAGTAACATAATTGTGACATAAATCAGTGGTTAAAAAAGCAAATTTCATGGACATCAGTACATAAAAGACTGTAACTTTTAAACTGTTTTGACTAGAAATCGCGATCTTAATAAAAAAGTTGAATTTGCTTTTTTTGAAGGTTATAACTTATGAATTAGAATTGTACACTTTTTATACAATATTTGCGCCTCCATATCAAACAAATGGCTCAACCATATTCAAAAATATTTGTTTAATTAGTTCCCTCTTAGATAATTAAAGGGGAGCACGATCATTTGCTATCAATTCACTTGCTATTAACTCACTTGCAATCGTCTCATTTACTAACAACCTCACTTGCTAGCCCATCATTTGCTATCAATTCACTTGCTATCTGTTTCACTTGCTCTCGGCCTCACCTTCTCTCGCCACATTTGCTCTCCAGCCTCACTTGCTATTGGGTCAATTTGCTATCAGGCCTCATTTGCTATCAAAACGTTTGCTCTCCAGTCTCAACTGCTATCAAAGCTGATCTACTGTCCAAAACTATCTTTATTTTGAATTTATTTGTAGTTGGCTATATTTCGAAAATTGTTTTCTTCCAAAAAATGACTTTTTAAAATCGAATTTTCTATATTCGAGTTTTTAAGAAATTCCCCGGGCAACGCTGGGCACTTCGGCTAGTTTTGTATTTTTCTTGCATTAAATGTTGTTATCAGCATTAATGCTGTATGGGAGTATTTACTTCAAGAGATAACAGTATTAGGGTTAATTTGTTTTTGAAGGATTTCAAGGATAAGGAATTCTTATGAATTGCTCTTTTATATGCTGGATATTTTCAAAATATTTTTATGCTTTACTTCAAACAAAATTATGAAGTTTATAAACCTTCAAATTTAGTATACTACTAGAGCTGAGGTTACTCTCTACACAATTCCCTTTTCCTAAAAATTATTTATTTATTATGGCAAACTTAAAACCATATACAGAGTTTTAGACATCACAGCCGTCAGCACCTTTCTTGCACCTTCCTTAGTAAATGTAAAGGAGAAGGTAAATTGTGTTTAATTAAATTTATCCCCGTCAACATGGGATAGAATATGGCCAAATTTTACTATTTTAGATCTAAAAAAAGATTATTTTTGTAGGAGGAGCTGCAGGGATGCGAAGTTGACATCCTTAGATCCCTGAACGGGTTCGGATTGGTTCTCTCCGACACCCAAGAGGTGGTGTACGTCAGCAACAACGTCTCAGATTACATTGGACTCACTTCGGTAGGTCATCATTGAAAAGATTTCTCTGAAAAAAAATCTGATTTTAGTTTGATATTTAGCTTTTTTTTTCAGAGGAAAAGGAAGTTATTATGAAAGTGTTCATAAAGTGTATTGTAACGGCTGGACAAAATTAGCTTTTTTTAAATGACGGAACCCATGGGTTTCCAGAGGGTGATACAGGCTAAAAAACATTCAAATTTTGTTTTCTTTCTTAGATTTAATTTTTCTCAGAATTTTTTTCTAAATGTTTTTTTAAACCTTGTCTAAGAGAAATTTTTAACAGAATATTACTATTCGATTTAATCAAATCGGGAAGAGCATTCTGCAAAATCAAAATTCATTAAGCTTAGAACCTTCAGTAGCCGACGAATTTGTAGGATTGTAATCCTGCATAGGGGACGTCACATTAACATCTGGCGTACTCTGCCTTTTTGCCTAAATGCTTTTTTCTCCAGTTGCCCAAAGGTCGACTTGGTACTTCAAAATAAAAATAGTGGGCATATAATAACGTCCAATGGCGGTCTGGAATCCGGGCACGTTCGCTAGAATTACATTATGACATCAACTGTTGGCACCAGGAATGATTGAGTCGCGTACAGATTAAACTTACACTTTTTAGAATTTGACTCTATATTCTCTTATCATATTTAAGAAGATTTTTAAAGTTTTTTGAAAAAGTTTCTTTTCCTTCGATGACGAAACTATGCAAGCAATTGGCATAAACCATAAAAAAAATGATTTTTCAGAAAAAATAAACGATGTTTCAGAAAAAAATAAATGAATTTTTAAAGTAAAAGATAACAAAAAGAATGATAAAACTTTACTTTTAATGTATTCATTTTCTTCTCCATTTTATCAAAACATTTAAATTTTTTATTTTTTTTATGAAATTATGATTATTGCCATAAAACGTTAGTTTGCTTGTATACACTTTTGGGTCGCACTCTATAAGTAACATAATTGTGACATAAATTTAATTTAGGAAAGGAAATATTGTTACAACTTCGCTATGATTTGAATTAAGTTTGTTAAACCAAAACTGACAAAAAAGTTTGATATAGTGTCACGAAATAAGTAGAGTAAATCTAATGTTAACCAACAGATCATACTTTACTTAAATTTTAGGATTAATCTGATGAGTAAAAGTAAAGTTTGATAGGGTTTGTTTACATTTTTGAGTGACGTATTACGACAGTTCTTAGAATATTAATATTGTATCATTGATATCTCGGACAGATTAAGTATCAAATTATATTCTTGATTTCTAATATTTAGTTTGAACTCTTGGGCCAGTCTCTGTCTGATTTCATTCATCCTTGTGATCATCCTTCCCTCAAGGACCTCATTACAAACATCCAGGAAAACCAGGACAAGCATGTAATGGTAAGTTTATGAACCAGGACAAACATGTAATGGTAAGTTTATGAACCAGGACAAACTTGTAATAGTAAGTTTATGAATTAAGACAAGCATGTAAGAGTAAGTTGATGAACAAGGACAAACCTGTAATGGTAAGTTTATGAACTAAGACAAGCATGTAATAGTAAGTTCATAAATTAAGACAAGCATGTAAGAGTAAGTTTATGAACCAGGACAAACCTGTAATGGTAAGTTTATGAGCTAAGACAATCATTTAATAGTAAGTTTATGAACCAGGACAAACCTGTAATGGTAAGTTTATGAACCAGGGCAAACATGTAATAATAAGTTTATGAATTAAGACAAGCATGTAATAGTAAGTTTATGAACCAGGACAAACCTGTAATGGTAAGTTAAGGAACCAGGACAAACCTGTAATGGTAAATTCATGAGCCAGGAACCAGGACAATTATATAAAGATTACTCGTGATCAATTGAAGGAAACTGTATTATTTAATATTTCATTCCAATTTTATTATTATTTCATTCCAATTTTATATTCAATTTTATTTTTTAACTAAGTGCTGATTCTAAATTAATGAATGAATAGGTTTCACTGAATCGTTTCTTTTTTGTGTGCATTTGTTAAAACAGATCTTTAACGTGTGTTATTTTTTTTTTACGATGCATTTTGAAAATTGTTTTAAAATTTTTTTAAAAATCTGCACCAAAAATTAAATGATTCATGTTTATTCGTAGTCAAAATGCTAATAATTACTTTTAATGCTGTTAAAAAGCAAAGATAAAAAACTATTATAGAAGGATAAAAATATCATTGAATATTTATTGAATATTATTCTAGGCCTATGTAAGGATAAAGTGCACCATTACTGAGCGAGGACGTATGATAAACCTAAAGCAGGCCAACTATAAGGTGACCTATTGAAGACTCAGGGGCGTTATTTGGTTAACAATTTAAAAAAAATACTTTTCATTTTCTTGCACAAATAATCAAAAATTATTTTCCCCCTGTGTGGGTTGGTAATTCAGAAAAATATATACCCATGTAAGACTAATGTTGTATATCTATCTGTATAATATATAATGTAGAAATCTCCTGGTTTTTAATCTGAACTCCTTGATCTTCATGCTTCAAATTATATTTATGGAACTTGGTGGAACCACGGGAATGTTCTTACGTTCTTAGCTTGGTTTAAACATTCTAAATTTAGTGGGTGGACTTTTCTTGGAATAATTCAGTTTCCATTCAAAGCTGGGTTCCCGAGTCAGTAACAATAAATGTATAAAAGAAAATATTTCAAGCTCTTTGATTGGGATGTTAGGTTTTGAATGCGTCTTTATCTGAAGGTTTTTTCTCTATCGTTTCTTGAATAATTTTTCTTTAACAATCAATTTCTTTGTTCTATTTTTAGGCTACCAACTACATATTTTATCTATTCATATATCCATCTTTATCTTTTATATATTCTTACTTTATTAAAGGGACTGTAAAGGAAAAATGAAAGGGGGTATAGGCTGAAAGCTAATCACTTTAGCTCTTGATCGCACCCATGAAAGTTTTATCTGATGTTCCTGTCTCGAAAAATTGATTTAAAACTGTGTTGCAATTATACGAAAGTTCATATATGTAAAATTTAGAAAATCTTAAATCATGTGACCCGAGATGAAAACTTTAGAATGAGATATCCTTAATCCCGATCGGTTAATTAATCTGGAGATTAATAACAAGAGGAGAACAAGCATTATTTAATCTCGAGATTAAGAAAAAAAGTGGATCAAGTCTTAATCCCGATATCCACCATATTCAAAAGTTCCCAGCTCAGAACTATCACTAATGGCAGAACAGTATACTGATCACGTGTCTCCGCCTATATCACGTGACCACTTTACTGGTCAAGTAATACGGAAGTATAAATAATATTATGAATTAAATCTATTAAAAATAGAAATAACAAATATAAAATTAGAATTGGAGTAAACCTAAGTAACAATTAGCTTTCTCTGGGATATCATAGTTTTCAGATTGGTTGCATATTTGCTGAATTTGATCTATTTAAACCCTCTAATTTTATACAAAATTGTATATATATTAATTTTCGTATAAATTTGACACAGTTCTATATCAATTTCTCGAGATAGGAACATCAGATATAACTTTCATGGGTCGCGATCGAGAGCTAAAGTGATTAGCTTTCAGCCTATACCCCCTTTCATTTTTCCTTTAAAGTCCCTTTAATCTATCTTTCATTCTATTTACTTATCTATTGTATTTCTATTTATGCATTTATCATATCTTGTTCTATCTATCCATCTTACTATCTATTTATCTATCCAACCTAAATTTATTTATCCATCTGTCTTTCTATCAAAATATCCTGGATCAGTCTATATCTAATCTATTTAGCCTTCAATCAAACTAACCTATCTACCTACCTATCTATGTATCAATTTATATCCATCCATCCCTCTATCTATCTCTCTACCTCTCTATCTCTCTGATCTAGGTGTTGAGGATAGAAGGACGGGTCCGACGTTTGCCCTCTACTGGAGCTGGAGGATTAACAGGGCGTATCCTGATGGGGATTGCAACCTTGATTAACACTGAGATGATCCTGGAGTGCGGGAAGGGATCCTTCATTACCAAGCACAAGGAGGACATGAAGATGGTCGAGGAGGATGGATGGTAAATATTTTATTAAAGGAATCCTTGACGTAATTGGTTGGTTTTCCATCAGTTGTCAGATATAAAACATGAATATCTTAGTGTTGCCTATCTTTAAAGGGTACAGTTGTAGATGTTAAATCCAGAATTACTACAATTGACGTAGACGTAATCTAAAATGCAATATAACAACATTTGTAAGCATAATAATTCGCCCCCCCCCCTCTAAATTGATTCTCAAATCCAGTGCTTAAAATCCGGATCCGGATCCAAGGGGTAAAATATCAGCTAATAACTGCAACAAAAAAAACTTTTTTACTCCTAAAACCCAAATCTGAACTTTTGAAAAAAGAGATTATAAAAGTTACTTATTTCTGAATGGTTCATCAAGTTTTAGGATAAAAATAAGCGGGAAAAAATAAAACCAAAAATTTGAAAATTATTTTTTGTTAAAAAAATTCAGTAAATCTTAAAGAAATGACCTAGATCCGGATTCATTTTTTTCCAGTCTGGATCCAGGATCCGGATCCGGATCCGCATCAAAATTAAATGGATCCTAAGCACTGCTCAAATCAGACATAGTATTAGGCTTTAGTTTTTTTTGCTGACATAAGGATGAATATTACGTGCCTAAACTGAAAAAAAAATCTTTAATGAATGACATAGTTTACTAAAGTAGTATTCATCACGTTTTCATATTATTAAATCGGGCTAGGTTTATTAATTATTTAGATCCCTCAAAAAAAAAACTTAGGATCCGGAACCGTTGGATCCTCAACATTTTGCTTCCTGAATCCAAGGGGCAAAAAATCGACAAAAACTGGAGAGAAACTTTTTGCTCTCAACCCCTGAATCTGAAATGTTAAAAAAGAGATTCTAAATTAAAATATCCTTATCTTTAAAAGACTTACAATTTTTAGTATTTAAAATGAAGCAAAAAAAGAGAAAAAATAATTTGAAAATTCTTTTTTTTACCAAAAAGAAATCAGTAAATTTTCAAGAAATGTTTATAACCTAGATCAGGATCCATTTTTTTCAGGACGGATCCAGGATCCGGATCCGCATCAAAATTAAATGGATCCTTAGCACTGGTTTATATTTTTGTGGTGTAGTTAGTATTACGTTCAGGGTTATATACAGGGTGTCCCAATAAACATGGGAATGCAGAATCTCGAAATCGTCTCTGTTAATAATTAGCGTTGTGTTACCTAATTTCAAAGGTCAACATAAAGTTACGTCTGCTTGAGTATATTTCATGTTAACGGTAAAAGACTGTTTTGTTCAATGTAAAACATTATATGATGTTCTGAAACATTTCTGGAAGAGAAACAACCCTATGTTGTATACACGAATATCTGTTATTAACTACAACATAATATATGCAATAAAATCATAACTTAACATATTCTGAATTCTATCAGACTGATTTTTGTTTTCTAGTAGGCATCACCATACTAAATCGAAAAATCGTTCACAAAGATTATATTTAAATTGTCACTGAATTTCCATGTTTATTGGGACACCCTGTATTTTCAATTTTCAAGTTAGAAATCCCCTGGCCCTCCTTCATAGGAGGAAATGATTTTAGTTGGATAATGGCAAGTTTTTCACCCTTTTCACCCAAATATTTTTTAACCTCTTGAGTTATTTTTGTTTGTCATTACATTGAACGAATACGTCCTAATTCAGATTGAATGTCGTCTCATATATCGAAACACTGAATGGAATTACCAGTGGAACCAACCATGTTTGGGCTGCGTCTCAAATTCTTGAAATTCGGCCTTTGGTCTATTATTTGGTGGGAATGATTTTTTACGAAAAAAATATGCCCATAATCTTGCTTGTTGCTAGTTAATTTTAAGAAATGCATAGATGACACATTTACATTTTGGACTTTGACAAATTTATGGAAAAAAGTGTTAAAACGAAGGGGAGGGAAAGGGGAGGGTTGAAGGGGAGGGGATAGCAACACCACATCTTACCTAAAATCCTTGCTACCCTAGGCTATCTGAGGATGGTGGTTACTCCTCTACTAAACTATCCGGGAGATCATTCTTCGATCTAGTTCATGCTCAGGATATTCAGAATATATTGCAGCCATTCAAAAACCGTAAGTTTTGGAAGTTAAATAATCAATCGTTCAATTAATCAATCAATCATTGCACACTTGTATAACGCCCTTAAATATCCTTCAACTCTATTATCCGTTCTTAACCCCCCCCCCCCCCACACACACACTTTTTTGTTATTCTTGAGCAGTTCAATTAAATCTTGAAGTGTCGGCTATTTTTTTTTGGGGGGGGGGAGGGGAGGGGTCCAGAAGCTTTTAATATTCTTTTTTATTCTTGAAATCTTTATTGCAAGCTTTCCTACATTTGTATGAAAAAAAACTAAATTTAACAGTAGGTTCTTGCCATTTTAGTGTAAACATGAAAAAGGATAAAATTCTTTTTCTCCAAATAAACCCAATTTTGTTAAGTTCGTGAGCATGGACAGTGTGAGACCGGACCCTACCGCCTACTGTTGGGCGGAGGCGGATACGCCTGGGTACAGACCAGGGCGGTTCATAATACGCCGCGGCGGGGGAGCAGCAAAACAACAAGCATAACCTGCCAGCACTCACTTATTACGTAAGGATTATAAAACACAATCGTTAGAGTGGCTTCTTTCTAATCTAGCAATGTATTAATTTCAGATTTCCTGTTGAGCCAAATTCTAAAATATTGTAGAACTGTCAAAACGTTTCATTGAATGACTGGTGTTTGCTAATTCAATAATAATCAAATGTTAATATGCTGAGGTCTTCTGTCACTGATTTTTGATTTTTGATTTGCAGAACAAAGTCATAAATGTACGGGGTTGAAAGTCCAAGATTACAAAAGAAAATTTATATTTGTGAAATATAAACAAGTATTATTTTTTAATTAAAAATAAATTCTGAATGAAATATATCTGTTTATATATTCAAAGGAAAAATTAAGCTTGCCCATCTTTTTACAAAATGATACGTTTATCTAATTTTCATTTATTCCTCTGGGTCTTGTATATTTGAAAAATATTCACATAAAATCATGTTAAGGACTTAGATAACCTTTTTTTTGAACTAGCTTGGGAACCCAGCATTGTCTGGAATATAAAATTTCTCAGTATAAGTCTACTTCCTCAACTTTCGAATTTAAATTTCCGAACCAAGTCAAAAAAAAAACATTGTTCTAGCGATTTCCCTCTAATCATAACTCTAGGCGAATCAGTCAAGGGGTTCCTGAGTTATGATTGCACATAAACAAAAAAGACCAACATAGATTACTACTTCATATATTTATAGAATATAGATTACCCTGTAATTGTGCCATTACAGATTGACGTTAAGTATTAATCTTCTAATATAGGAACCCACAAGTTGACTTGAATAAAATATGCCATCATTGTTACAGAGTTTTCTGAAACCATTGTAGCTCTCTGTCACCTGACAATTACGCTAATAGTCTCTTAAAAAATGTTTAATCTAGGGAAAGTTTGGAGTCGGAGACCATCTTAGCTCTGGTTCAGACAGAGGCTGCCGGAGACAAGGTTAAACCCAGGGTAGTTGTAACACTGGATATGGGGGTTGATGAAACCTTCAACCTGGAGAACCCGGAGAACATGAACGAGATCCTGGAGATGCTGGAACAGGACGCAGAGGAGCTTAAGATGATGGACGAGGAGAAGAAGGTGAAAGAGGAGCTGGAGAAGATGGAGGAGGTGGAGAAAGTTGAGCTAGTAGAGCAGGAAGAGGAAATGGATCAAATGGAGGAACTAAATGTTGTGTTTGAGTTGTCTCCAATGGAGTATCAGGTTTGGTTTATGTATTGGCTGATATATTGAACATTTTTAAACTAATTAATTCTCCGAAACCACTGCCCCTTCCCCCAACCTGTTCATTAAAACAGTTAAAAATCAATTTAAACCCCATATACATTTAAATTGAATTAAAATATTATCAAATTTTTATTGAAAGATTTATTTTGATTGATTGACTGGCTTAATGATTAATTGTGAATAATGATTAATTTATTAACTAACGGGATTATTGATTGATTGATTGATTGATTGATCGATTGATGGTGTTCAGGATCTACTTGCTGACCATGTAGCCCCAGACATGTCCTCTGTAAGCATTAACACAAGCCCACCCAGAACCTCAGTAATCATGAGCCGTGAAGGAGCTAAACTTACTCCGGTTACAGCTCAGATCTTTGTATCCTCTCCTGATAGTACCTGGAGTTCTGGCAGCCCTGGAAGCCCTCAACTGACTTGTGAGGACATTTGTTCCTCTCCTGAACCCCAGGTAGATAGCTGTTGTTCATTACAACATTAAAGTATAGAGAAATGATATTAATGCCGAAGATCAGGATCCATTTTTTTACAAGGTGGAGCCGGGACCCGGTTATATTTGATAGGATCCGGGTTTTTTAACAGGATTGATCAAGACCTTGGTTTAACCTTTTGCTGGTCCGATCCAGGATCCGGATCCGAGATTATATTTGAATGGAATGGATCCTAAGAGTAGAACGAAATCTTCCCCCCTATAAAAACTTTTAATCTAATTTTGGAGATTTATTTTATTTTTTTTAGATTGGCGTTTCTTATACGCAAATATATTTTAGTAACAAAACAAACTAAATAATTACTTACACTGCACCAATTACTTTCTCATATACACAACCAAATGTTAAAAACCTTGAGACGTTTCAATTCTGAAGATCAAATAGTCAAAGTTTGGAATATCAATACCAACAAATTGCAAACGTGAAGAAAATTTGAAGTTCTAGATAAGTGTACAGTCCATACTCCATATAACCTTAACCCTTTTTCAGTTAAAGCTGAGCAGTATTTCAAACTTACCGTTTCGAGAAAAAAAAGTATTAAGCAGTCAGAAATTTTTCAGTATTTTTGTACTTTAAAAAGCTTTAAAAATGTTATTTGGACTAAATTTGATAAATTGGAGAAGTTTTTGACACGAGAAAACAAATGAATTTCCCCACCCCCTCTCTAAATAATTTATCTCCTCAAATGTTAACTAGGTTTGTGCGGGTTTGCTAACACCAAGTTAAAATTTAGTTACAAAATTTCCCCTAAAATATACTAGTTTCATGCCAGGTACTTGGTACTGGACGGAGATTGAGCTCTGACCTGGAGAATCTGTCTCCGTTCATCGGAGACGAATGTGTTCCTCTGAACAAGACCGAAACCTTGTTCCAACCGTTAAACTTGGATTCCTTTGATGATCTGGAATTTACCGACAATATATTCGATCTCACCGTTAATACAGACGGTATATTTTACAAGGTAGGAATTGTACTGCACCAGTTTTTTAATCTACGTTTCCTGTATCTAGGTTCTTAAATCTATTTAGGTTCCTGTTTCCAGGTTTCTGTATCATGGTCTCAGTATTTAAGTTTCTGTAAACAGGTTTCTGTATCCAAGTTTCCGTATCCAGGTTTCTGTATCCAGGTTTCTGTATCCAGGTTTCTATATCCAAGTTTCTGTATCCAGGTTTCTGTATCCAGGTTTCTGTATCCAGGTTTATGTTTCCAGGTTTATGTTTCCAGGCTTATGTATCCAGGTTTATGTATCCAGGTTTATGTATCCAGGTTTCTGTATCCAGGTTTCAGTATCCAGGGTTTCGTACCCAGCGTTCCGTATCCAGGTTTCTGTATCCAGGTGTCTCCTTTACAATGGTTCTGACAAGTAGTATGAAGACATTTTAAGCTAGATCATGCTATTCTATTGGGTAAAAAGTATGATATAGAATGAAAAAATTTGCATTTTGACGTACAATTTTTCATTTTTTAACCCAAATCATCAAAAATCATCCCCCCCTCCCCTGAAAAATGTATACCTATAATATATTCTATTTCTAAAACCTGATGTTAAGGTTGACAATGACGAGGACAGTATACTAATGGAACCCCAGAGTAAGATCATGTGGAGTGGATTGAGTGTATCTCAGGTCAACACTTGTTTACTAAACATTATTTTTGATCACTTCTTACTAAATGGAAAATAAAGGACATGAAATAGGATAATAATGTACACAGATTTTCCATTAAAAACGATTTTTTTTGTATTGCATTTTGGGTACCTCAAAATATTCATCAAAAAATTATTAAATTATTTTGTCACTTCAGTATTTTGTATTAAAAATGTCGAGTTTTAATGTTCAGGGAAAGTTACTAGTTAGTTAGTTAATTAGTTAGTTTGTGTGTTAATTTATTCATTTTTATTTATTAAATACAAGCTAAATGGCCCGGCGTTGCCCGTGGAAGTTTTAAAGAAATTGAAATTTTTTTTTGATTTTTGAGAAAAAACGGTTTTTGAAAAATACAACTTTTAGAATTTTTTTAGTCTATGTACCCATGGGTTACCTCTAGAAATGTCAGCCCATTCGGTCCAGCCGTTTGGCCGGCCACAGTGAACAATGAATATATATACAATTGTCTTGTTTTATTATAATAATATAGATAACCGTGTATAAATAGAGAAGTACTGATTGATCATAAAGTAATCAATAATCAAAGCTTTTAATGTTCTTGAGGCCGAATTTAAATAATTTGAGCCGCGGTTTAAATTAAAGCCGCGGCTTAATAATGGTTGGTTTCACTTATAATTGTATCAAATGTTTCAAGATTTAAGCCGGCGCTCAATTTTACCCGGGTTTGGGCGGATTTAAGCCGCTACTTAAATTCTTTAAATTCGGGTTTAAAAAATAAAAAGTTTGTACTTTAGACGTACGCAAGGAAAGATCGAAAATGTCCTTGAGGCCAGTACTTTTGGAGTCATATCTTGCAAAATTGTGAAACAGAGGTCACAGGAGTCTGACATTTGGGGATGTGTGCGAATTTTAATAGGCCATTAATTTCAATTCAACTTGATTTGATTTTAGGATTCCGGAATCTCTGTATCTCCTGGGTTTGATCCTGTTTCTCCTGATCTACTGTTCTCTCCCGTTCAGCAGGTTAGAGTTCAGGGATTAAGGAGGATTAGTTGGACTAGTCTTTCTTGTCTTTTAATACTTTATACGCCAAAATTCTTTATTTGTTTATTTTCCCCCGATTGTTTTTTTCGCACAAAAAAAAACAGATGGGTAAAGGCGAAGGCGAAGGGGAATTTTTTCAAGAAAATACGTATATTTCTTTTTACATTTACAGTCTACTGTAAGTTTTATAGACTGTAGTACACAAATTGTGCACTGTACTGAGCAATTTTTAAGAAATACAGAATTTAGCTCTAGTACTGTTAAATAATTCGGACTCTAAACTGCAAACATGTGAGTTTAACTTAAGACTTTTTGCTTGAACTGATATTTTATATTTCTGAGTGACAGAATGTCAAAAAG